TCCTCCAGCCCAGCCTTAATTTCGCTATAATTTTAATTATTCGGCGCTTTCCAGGTTCCCCTCAGTGTAATCCATCAGGTTTCAGCACCAGTTTAAACACCGTAAGCTCAAATATCGCACATTGGCCTGAATGTGCTTTAATTTCTATTAACCTGGGAGGGAATTGTGCGTATTCTGTTGTGAAAGAGGTGGTTTATTCTTAGATTTGATGAAGAAAATGGGTTATTCTTGGATTTGATGAAGAAAACGGGTTATTTTTGGATTTGATGAAGAAAACGGGTTATTCTTGGATTTGATGAAGAAAACGGGTTATTCTGGTTTTCCTCTTTTGGCAGCATTTAAAGCACAGTGAGGTTTATTGTATCCCTTGTGGAGAGAGAACTTTAAAAAGTAAAATAAACCCTAGGTCCTGAAAATGGAAGATTGAATGGGAGTTAGGGGTGGGTTGGGACACAGAATATTATTTCTTAATCCTATCCTTTAAAAATCCCAGAATTTCAAGCTCTTGCTCTGCCGGCGGAGTTGTAAAACAGCAGCAAATTGCGTGGCTGGGAAATAAGGGAACTGCTGCACACCACGGGATTTCTTCCGCTTCCACTGCCTGCTGTCGCCTCGCAACTTGCTTATTGCAAACCAGGGGGGCTCGCCCTGGCACCCCCGTAGCACCCCGTGACTTCGAGGTGGTCATCCCGGAGCGAATCGCATTGGGTTCCCTCGGCAGAAAGAAGGGGACGAGCGTGAGCGTGGTTTGCGCCACCGTGGTTGTCGAATCTCTGGCTGCGTGGATAACGTCTGTCTGCTGTACGCGTGAATTAGCGGCTGCTAATTTTAGCAGACTCGCGGTTTTCGAGGGGGTTTTCAGCTGCAGCAAAAGAGCTTTGCCCAAAAGCAGTACAGCAGCATTTGGATCAGGTCTCCGAGCCATCTTCTCACCCGCTAAGGTTAAAAAATAAGAGTGAAAGGGAGATGGCTCCTGTGGGAAGCCACCACGATGAGCCCAAACACAAGGAAACACCAGTATCTGATCAGGCATCAAGTGACTTTTTTTTTTCAGTGATTTCTTTTTCCAATACCTTAAAAAACGAACTCTCCTGATATTAATCTCCAGTAAAGTCCCCAGTAACACTGCCCTCCTCTTTGCTGAGCTCTGCGCAGCCTTTCTGTTCCAGCTCTGCCTACGTTTTCCTCCCAACCCACCCGTTCATTGTTCTTGCGAGCAGCTGTGTTCGTGCTTCCTGCCGCAATGCCCGGAGTGTGTTTCTACTTCCCTTAATTGCATCTGCTCAATTCCCCCTTTCTCCACTTTAAACTTTTAAGAAACTTCTACCAGGTAGCCCATAGTGGAGACATCTTTTTTTCTTTCTTAATTTCCTCCATGGCCTAGAAACGGACATGTCTCTTATTTTCTCTATATTTGCCACGTCGGACCAACTAATTCTGTCCACCTGCAGGAAGAAATTTCTATATTCACCCCTTTTTTATGTTGTTACAAATAGTCTGGGTCCTGGCTGCGTGTGGTATCGTCAAAAGTGAGATGCGGAGGGGTAAACTGCATGAAAATTTATCTAGGATTTAGCTAGAAAATAACTGAAAAAATGTATTTCTGATTCCAGATATTTGAATTTCTTCTGATATATTTGTTTTGAAGGATGGTGATCTTTAGTGCCTCAGCATAGTAATGCGGTAGGTTCTGTGCTTTGAATATTCATGTGCTTTAATACAACATCCAGTTGCAGACTAGAACTCCCTTTTTAGAGAATTTTTAAGAGGCAGAATTTAGCCTTTACCCCACTCCTGCAAGTAAGTATGAAAAGAAAGCAGGAAGTGGAATTTAATATTAGAGGCCATTGTGGCTGTAGAACGTTGTAGAGAACAGGACAGACGAGATGCTGCTCTGTGCAGCTTCTTACTGGGAGGGTTTAGTAGAGAAAATGGAGCTGAACTTTTCCTGTGGATGCACAACGAGAGGACAGGAGGCAGCAGGGACAAGTGGGAACGTGGGGATCCTCGGTTAGATGGACCTTTTTTCTTTTTCACCGTGAGGGTGATGAAACAGTGGAACAAGGGACCAGGGAGGCTGTGGGATCTCTTTTGCTGGAGGTGCTCAAAACTCAACGCTGAGCAGCCTTTGAGCGCAGCGTTGGCCTTGAGACCTCTTCCAACCTGAATTCTTCTGAGATCCTGTGATATCAAGCGTGTTATCTTCACTGGTGTGACTCTCTCCTTTCTCACAACCCAGGGGAATGACGATGACCAGCCTCCTGCCTTCAACAGGGGATGGAAACTGCTATTACATCCTGACAGAAGACTGTGCCTATGGCAGCAAGTACTTCCAAGCTGGGAACATGTGCTTCTGCAGCGAGAGAAGTTACCTGCATAACTTCTCCGATGACAGGCCCCCGGCTTGCTTCTTGAAAGTCATCATGCTGGATGACAGCTCCACCGTCACGATAAACATAGAAATCCTTCAGCCTGTACATGAGGAGACGGCCGCTTTCCTCCTGGCCATCAGCAGCCACAGCGAACGCTTGAACTGTTTCTTGGAGAGGCTGAGCCTTGAAGCAGCTCTGCGAGCCGTGCTGGGCCAAAAAGTGATGGTGGAGGTTGAGCGGCAGCATTTTCCTGGTATCATCCGCTACATTGGGAGCATTTACAAAAACACTTCAGCTGTGCTGTCTCCATTCTTCTTTGGGGTGGAGTTACAGGTAAAGTGGCCAAGAAATAAGTTGCTTATTTTCCCATAATGTTTGTGTGTGTGATGTGCCTTTGTGGTGTGTTTTCAGGGCGAGGGTGAAAACAGAGGGCGCAGCGATGGGTCTTATCACGGCACCGAGTATTTCAAGTGTAAGCGGAACTGCGGGATCTTCCTGCCGTTTAGCAGAGTCCAGTTTAGTCCCGTGCCGGATGACGACTATGCGAAACAGAAGCCAAAACCCGACACGGAGGAGGTGGTTCCTGTGAAAGTGGGAGATGCGGTTAGCTTCTATGTGGACGAGGTCCTCACAAAAGGAATAGCAATGGCAGTTTACAGAGAGGGAAACCAATGGTTCGTTAAAGTTTGTCCGGTAAGAGCAACCTTGCTGGTTTTTTCTTGGGTTTGGGGTATTTTTTAAAAACTACATTATGGTGGGGCATCAAAGAGAAGTGGAAGGAATGTCCAACAGGGACATGAGGTGACGTGCAAAATTTCCAGGCCTGTTTGAAAAATTGGTTCATATTCCAAGAATGCCATATGTCTGCTAAAGCATTTAGCCGATAGATTTTTCTCTCCTTTCAGGAAGAAGAAGGAACAACTGACATTTTTAGAGAAATCCCTATGGAGTCTGTTGTGAAGGAAAGCTTGCAAAGTAGGTTATCATCAGATGTGTCTACCCTCCGTACATTCCTGGGAATTTAGCATTTATTTCTTCTCTGCGGGGTACTGATGAGCTGAAAGTCCAACAAAAGCTTCAGTTAGTCCCAACTTAGTTGATCAGGAGGCAGAGAAGGTCCGTAGAAAAGTCTCAAGTTCTGGGTAAAATTCTTTGTGTTAGCAACTAAAGCTGAGTCTCCCCATTTATCAGGAAGAAGAAGAGAGAGTGTGATTGCAGCTTATAACTATTTCCTAGGGGGAGAAGACGCCAGTGGTTAAAGAGTCTTTAATTTAGCTGTAGAAGGTGGAGCAGGAGCCTCATCTCGATGCCAGACAAATTCAGAAAGGCACAGATGCCAGCAGCGATGGTGTGAGTCATTGGACAAGACAAGAAATTAGTGGAATCTTTCTTTTGCCATCAAAAAGACACCATGCAGCTGTCAGGATCAGCCCAAGGGGAGCCGTCGTTAGACTCTTCACTGAGTTGATTCATTTCAGTAAAGGCAGAAAATCAATTTGGAAATAACCCCCCCCCTCCCGCTGCCTTTTCAGTAGTGTGAAATGGCTCTGTGAAGGGCTGGATTAGCTCCAGGGCCAGCAAGAGGTTGGAGTGTGCAGCCTTGAGCGGGGAATCAAGGAACAGGATCGTCCCCTCTCAGCCTGTTAGACCAGTTTGGCCGTATCACTGGGAATTACACCTTCTGTCTCTGGTGCTCAGCTTCATGCTTCTCCGTGTGGTCTATAATTTCAAAATAGACCTGGGATTAGGTGAGATCCAGAGGTGTCTGTCATTAGGTGTTGACTTCCTACCTCACCTGACATTTTGTGTTGCCCACTAGGTTTATTTTCACCGTTTGAGTCTGACATGGGCTTGGGACACCCAAACCAAATGAAACGAGAGATAAGTGAGAGTGGTGAGGAGTGTGAAAGTGGGAATTCATCCCTGGAGGTGAACTCCATGGTCCAGATCACCTTGGACAAGGGAAATCAGGTTTCAGGAATCATCCGCTGGTTGGGCTACCTGCCCCAAATTAAGCAGAAAATGGCAGGAGTTGAACTGGTAAGAAGCAAAATATTTCCTGCTGTGAGATTGTGTATCAGAACGGGCAGGTCTTGGTTACTCTTCTCATTTCCTTGAAGACCTTCAGCCGCATATCTCACCGCTTGACCTGAGCCTCTGCCATTTCAGACTATGAACTGCGAGGGCAAGCAGACAATTAAGCAGACAATCACTCCTTAGGCTGAGGAGGAAAGCCTGCGGAGTGATTATGAGAGTTGGTTTGCTCTCTTCTAGAGCGATGTTAATGGAACGTGGGATGGAATAATCATGAATCCTACAAGCGGCATTAATAGGTTCAAATCATAACCGGAATAAATGAAAACAGCCAGCAAAACGAGACCAAGCTTGTACTTCTGATGTTAAATGGCCATCTGGGGGAATTGCACCTCATTTGTGGAAAGCCTGCTCTCATTCCTCAACGCTCTTTTCCCAGGATGAAGATAAAGGGGTCACTGCTGGCGAATGGCTGGGCAAATACTACTTCCACTGCGCTCCAAAGCGCGGCCTTTTCGTCAAGCTGCAGTCCTGCCAGCCCGACGTTCGCTTCCAGTGTTCGCACAACAGTGACCTCATGGATTATAGTAAGTTCTCTGGGGATGGGGCGGACAATGCTGTGCTGGGACAAGGCACGCTACCGAGATGCCTCATGCACAGTGTCTTAATCAGTAGTTTAATATTCTTCACTTTCTTCGAGTGTTCCAAAAGATGTCAGTTTGAAGGCTGCTGAGGTTGCCATGGTGGTATTTATAGGGAATGCCTCACAAGTGTGAGAATCACAGAATCACAGACTGGTTTGGGTTGGAAGGGACCTTAAAGACCATCTAGTTCCACCC